TTGGCTCAAGTTATGAAGCAATACTTTGGCTCAATTTATGTAGCAATGCTTTGGCTCAAGCTATGTAGCAACACTTTGGCTCAAGTTATGTAGCAATGCTTTGGCTCAAGCTATGTAGCAACACTTTGGCTCAAGTTATGTAGCAACACTTTGGCTCAAGTTATGAAGCAATACTTTGGCTCAAGTTATGTAGCAATGCTTTGGCTCAAGCTATGTAGCAATAATTTGGCTCAAGTTATGTAGCAATGCTTTGGCTCAAGCTATGTAGCAACACTTTGGCTCAAGTTATGTAGCAACACTTTGGCTCAAGTTATGAAGCAATACTTTGGCTCAAGTTATGTAGCAATGCTTTGGCTCAAGCTATGTAGCAACACTTTGGCTCAAGTTATGAAGCAATACTTTGGCTCAAGTTATGTAGCAATGCTTTGACTCAAGCTATGTAGCAATACTTTGGCTCAAGTTATGTAGCAATGCTTTGGCTCAAGCTATGTAGCAAAACTTTGGCTCAAGTTATGAAGCAATACTTTGGCTCAAGTTATGTAGCAATGCTTTGGCTCAAGCTATGTAGCAACACTTTGGCTCAAGTTATGAAGCAATACTTTGGCTCAAGTTATGTAGCAATGCTTTGGCTCAAGCTATGTAGCAATACTTTGGCTCAAGTTATGTAGCAATGCTTTGGCTCAAGCTATGTAGCAACACTTTGGCTCAAGTTATGTAGCAACACTTTGGCTCAAGTTATGAAGCAATAATTTGGCTCAAGTTATGTAGCAATGCTTTGGCTCAAGCTATGTAGCAACACTTTGGCTCAAGTTATGAAGCAATACTTTGGCTCAAGTTATGTAGCAATGCTTTGGCTCAAGCTATGTAGCAATACTTTGGCTCAAGTTATGTAGCAATGCTTTGGCTCAAGCTATGTAGCAAAACTTTGGCTCAAGTTATGAAGCAATACTTTGGCTCAAGTTATGTAGCAATGCTTTGGCTCAAGCTATGTAGCAACATTTTGGCTCAAGTTATGAAGCAATACTTTGGCTCAAGTTATGTAGCAATGCTTTGGCTCAAGCTATGTAACAACACTTTGGCTCAAGTTATGAAGCAATACTTTGGCTCAAGTTATGTAGTAATGCTTTGGCTCAAGCTATGTAGCAATACTTTGGCTCAAGTTATGTAGCAATGCTTTGGCTCAAGCTATGTAGCAATACTTTGGCTCAAGTAATGTAGCAATGCTTTGGCTCAAGCTATGTAGCAAAACTTTGGCTCAAGTTATGTAGCAATGCTTTGGCTCAAGCTATGTAGCAAAACTTTGGCTCAAGTTAAGTAGCAATACTTTGGCTCAAGTTATGTAGCAACGCTTTGGCTCAAGCTATGTAGCAAAACTTTGGTTCAAGTAATGTAGGACAAAATGAATTTATAAAACAAATGGTTTATTAACTCCTTTTTCTAATGTGGATTATCTTATAATGACGTTTATTGAATTAATGACTTACTCCTTTGTGTGTTTTGTACTTTTGTCATTGATAATCCCATTGCAGGTAAATAGACGAATGAAGTATGTCAGGTCGGGAGCTTTAGGAGCTTTAGACTTTGGATTCACTATTTATGTTTTTCGTATTCTAAATGACTACCTGCGGATTTAAATGATTGTAATCATGGCTAACCATTATTTGGATATTTGTAACCATGCGTAATGTTATTTTGGAGGATCAGAACCTTTGAGGTCTTAGTACTCATAGGGAATGATATGAATGAATTATGTTTTTCTACAAGATTAATTGTATGATAATATAATAGGTTATAAGATTAGTTCCAGGAATGATTCATGAGAACTTCTAGGTAAAATGATTATGAATGTGGTTATTGATTCATGGATTGAGTGTGAGGAGGGGAAATAAGATTTTGAAGTAAGGAAATTAAAATGGTAATGTGAGTTATGAGTGATTGAATGGAATTGAATTAAAATGAGAAAAAATTTCAAGGGTAGAATTCGGGTCGTTACACAACTCATAGTTCGTCCTTAACCATACAAAAGATTCATACATTTTTCAATGTTTCCAAAATCACTTTCATTAGAAGTTTTCAACATTAAAACATACATATATTCATCTTCTATTTTACATTAGAACACCTACTCATCTTCTACATCTACCATTTCACCCATTTTCCTCTACCACATTTTCATTTTGGGAGTTTTGGGGTTTTCATGAATCACAACCCACAAACCCTCTCCATTCTTTGAATACCAACTCTAAACCAAGAGTTTACAAGAGAGAAACTAAATACAACGAACCACAACCTTGCTCCCAAAATCACCTCATTCTCTCTTCTCTCTCAAGTTCTAACCCTAAATGTGTTTAAGGGTTTCTATTTTAAAGTTTCAGCGTCGGGTTCTCGCTTAAGCGAGCCTTTCCTCGCTCAAGCGAGAAAATCCCGCCCATTTTAAAAACTCAGATCTGGCTATCTCACTCAAGCGAGGGATTCTCGCTCAAGCGAAGATCCTTTAGTGTCCACCCTCTCTCCCTCGCCCAAGCGAGCCACATCTCGCCCAGGCGAGAATCCTAGGAAATCCTGGGAGTAGATACTGAGCCTTTCGCTTGGGCGAGGCCCTCTCCCTCAAGGGAGAAACACCCAGTATACCCCAGATTTCCCAGAATTTTCACTACACTTATTAAAATAAAATTAGGGTGTCACAACATGAGTAGAAAAGCAGTTTTAATACAAAATTGTTTTATTTTAGGTCTAATCGATTATCTCAACGAGTAATCGATTATCGACCTACTCAAATCTAGTTTTCTGTTGGAAATAATCGATTGCCTATAGAATAATCTATTGTTGAAACCAAGAAATCCAAGACCTTAGATACTCGAACTTTTATAAGTGATTATTCCCATACATAATTGATTATTGGGTTCCCATATTTTATCTAATTGATTATCACACATGATAATGAATTATTGATGTTGAAAACTTGTTTCTTTGATGCATGATGAACCTTCTACATGATGTATGAGTATATGATGCATGACTTTAAGTATGTAGCACTTTAATGCAATAAAATCATGTTTGTATTGTATATGCATGAACAAATCTATCATGAATGAATGTATACTATGTCCCATTTTAAGTTGATTTACTTTATTTTGAAGTTTTGTGATACTTTCATCCTAGGTTCATCTAACCTAGACTCTACCCAACCAATTATCTTAGGACTTCTATGAAATATATAAGATTTTCCTAAGTGTAGAAAGACCTTGAGCCTTGCCTTGTTGTTTGTTGAGTTGACAATGTCTTCAAGCATTCCTTAAAGTCTTTGTCTTCATCAAAGCTATATCAGTTAAGCACATTTGCAATCTCAAACTCCACTTGCAATGTCACAACTCAACAAACAACAAGCCACTTGCAATGTCACCATTACCTTCTACCTTGTCTTTGTAAGAAATCGGCTTATTCATATCCTTGTAGTATAGATGATCATCCATCATGGACTTCAAATAAGAATAGTTGTCAACTGTCAACTTAAATATGTCCCCATCAAACGAGATATTAGTAACTCCTTCCATCTTGGACTACATAGGCTAAGCTCCCTAAATAAACTTGAGAACTCTATTACCATTGTTAGGAAATTCAAAAACTCATTCTCCTCATTTGTGTGATGCAAAATGGACACTTGTGAAAGCGGCAAGTGATAAAGAAAATAGAGAAAAATAGAAGAATGACACCAAAAAATTTATCGTGGGGAAACCTCCTTAAAGTGAGAAGGAAACAACCACATGACCTAATCCAGAAAATATATTCACTATACAAAAATATAATTACAATATTTGCATCTCTCACTCTATGAGGATAACCTTAAACTCACCTAAAAATGATGGAATACAAAATTTCTATAGTATCTTACTCACAGAAAAATAGTCTGATACTAAGGTGGATATAAACTCTTTCACTTTCTCTATATGCTACTTTTCTCACTTGCTTTTGAATCTCTGCTCACAAGTTCCCTTTATAGTGTGATAAAGACTTTATGATGAAGACATACTGAAAGATTAATTATTGTCATGCTTTCAAGATACCTTGAAAATGCTATTCTAACTTTCTAAGTTGGACTTCATAGTTTTCAATAGTTAATACTAAGGTGGATATAAACTCTTTCACTTTCTCTATATGCTACTTTTCTCACTTGCTTTTGAATCTCTGCTCACAAGTTCCCTTTATAGTGTGATAAAGACTTTATGAATCTCTGCTCACAAGTTCCCTTTATAGTGTGATAAAGACTTTATGATGAAGACATACTGAAAGATTAATTATTGTCACGCTTTCAAGATACCTTGAAAATGCTATTCCAACTTTCTAAGTTGGACTTCATAGTTTTTAATAGTTAATGAGTAATTTTTAAGATCTACTTCAACTTAACTGGGTCATCTACCAAGATTCATTGGTGAAGTTTTTACCTCAATTAGGAAGGATTCCCTACCATACTACTTAGTAGACAAGTCAATTATAGTTTTTCCCCTGGACTCGGTTGCAATTTTATGAAGCATCAGTTTTGGCATTAAGAAATCACAAGTATGGTTAGGGGAAGTATGGATACTGTGAGATTTGAAATCTTCTTTTTTCCTTCCTCCCCTCTAACAACTCACAAAACAGAGCCTTAGAGACATGTGACATGACCGGAAACACTTTTAGAGTCCTTGAAACAAATTACATGATGAGAGGTGTATATTGAACATAAAACGTTGATTTCTCCGATCATAACATACAAAAAAAATCAATCACTTGTCCTCTTATACTTGACGCGAGCTCCTTGAGAAGTAAAGTTAACAAGTGTAAAAACGGTACTAAACATTCAATTCTTTAAGATTACCTAGAATTTGAATTCTTCTTCCAATTGAAATCCTATTAGGAATGAAACACTATAATAAAAAGTGCGACCTTAATTTATTATTAACAATATTAATAGTTGTAATTCTTTCTCCTGCCTTACAGGTATCAAAATGGAAAGCATAAAGTCATAAAAAAGACTATCATTAATTAGGTGTTGAGATCGTTAAATTTTGTACCTCAAATTTAGTAAAAACAATATTAATAATAATAATTCAGTACCTCATATTTTGATTGACAAAATTATAACCCACACAAAATTACATTATAATAAGGATACCCTTTTACATGCCCTTCTTTCTCCTTTAGATTTAGAACTAATTCAAACATGACGAATTAATGAAATACAAAAAACAATTTGAATACGTTGAACATAAGAGAAAGCTGTAGTTGAAACTGGATTGACACACAGCACAAGATTACTGCTACTAGCCAAACCAAATCAACCTATCAAACTTGAAAAGGCCATGGCCAATCCTTCAAATCCTCATCCTGCTGCACCTTCCCACTCCTCATAGCAACACCACCATTCCCATTCCCTTCAACAATAGCATAGTACTTCAAGAAAAAGGCCAATGTCAAAACCACCCACTCCAAGAAAAATATCACAACACCAAGCCCACCACCAAGCTTAAGTATCACACCAGCATCCTCTTCTCTCACATAGGAATTCAACCGAGCCAGAAAGTTAGAAGTACTTGTAAATATCAGCACGGATACTGAACCCTGAAATATGGCAGTTAAAACGGTAAACACCATGTGGGCACTGTACCAGCGGTTGGTCCCGTTAGAGACGGCGGCGCAGCCAGAGACGGCGCCGAAGATTGTGAAGACATGGAGTAAGATGAGGAAGAAGCCGCATAGAGAAGGGAAGAGGCGGAGAGAGAGAGTGAGGAAGATGCAGCTGGAGGCTGCACCTAATAAGATGTAATTGCATAAAAGGAACAGCTTATGGATGTGATGGTGTTTTTCAGTAGTGCCACTGTTGTTGTTGTTCATAACAGAAAGACCCATTTTTTTCTTTTTTCTGAAAATGAAAATGGAAAAAGAGTATTGAAGTGAAGATGATTAGGAAAGAAACTGAATGATGGTTTAAATTGAGTGATAATGCCTAATATATAGAGTTAATGGGTCCAGAGGCTGAACGGTCATATTTAAGAGTGAGTGCTTGGTCGACTGGCAATATGACCGTTGGTCAGAAAGTAGACGAATCTCACTTAACGGATAGTTTTGAGTTAACGGCTGTTTTCAATTCTTGTGCGATTTTTAAATGCAATTAAACCAGGATTTGTATTTATTTCCTTTTGTCATGTAACTAAGTAAGACTCATCTAAGAAGAATTGCACTTTTATTTTGTAGTGTACTTTTGAGGTTAATATATATTAATTTTTCAATGTTTTTCTCAAAACTGCTTTAGAAAGTAAAGTGATCTCCTATTTTTGTTTAATATACAATCTTTTATTTTGAAAAAAAAAGTTAAAAATCTAAAGTTTTTATATATCATTTATGTAGAACTTTTAATTGATATCTTTTTCATATGAATTATATAATATTAAAAAATATTTTTTAGTCGGTCCTACATTGCGTTTTAACAAGTCTGCATAGGTATAAATATCATCAAATTAGATACTATTTAAGCTGAAATTATAAAATTAGTAACATAGGCCAATCAACTATATATCAAAACATTTGTATGCTAATATAGGGATGATAATGGGTCTGGATGGATCTGGGTAGTGCAGACCTGTCTCGTTGCTTCTTTTTTGAACTCAGACTCGTGCTAATACACACCAAGTATACTACTTGCGGGTCATTGGGTACCCGGTGAATCCATGGGTACCATAAATTCAAAAATATTAAAAATAATTTCAAATAATTTATGCATTTCTATATTTATTTCCTACTATCTTATATATGTTATTTAGACAATCAATAAGATAAAAAATTATAAAACTTAATTTAAAATATTGAACACAACTTATTTTACTCAAACAAATATTAAAAACAACTTCAACATTAAGATGAAAAATTCATGTAGTAAAAACTTTTCAATTAACATAACACTATATCATACGTATGAATTAACAACATAATATCATTATTTAACAACATAAAATCATAGTTTAACAACATAACAATCATATTTATGAATTAATATGATATTATGATAATGGATAAATATGATATTACAATATAGATTAACATGATATTATAATTATTGTTTTATACATATAGATTTAGGAAGAAATAGCGGGTTCGGGTATGCACGGGTCTCAGTACCTCATTACCCGGATCCAGACTCATCTAACAGCGGGTCTAAAAATTGCGGGTCTCAATTACCCACGGTTCCAAAATATGGATCCAGACCTGACCATTGCGGGTATTTTTTGTGGGTACCCACGGATCCGGGTTCTGATTTAATTATGCTCCTGGCCTGCTATAAGTAACTAAACCCTCAATTTCTCTCCCATCTTTCATACAGTTTCATGTGCATAAAACTCCACCTCATGATTTTGGTTTTAGATTTAATGACTTTGAAAAATGTTGAGATCCTCAAATTTGAGGTTTAAGATTAAAGATTCGATAACTTAAAGAAAATTAAATATTATTGGACAAATAATAATATTATTCGAGGCCACATCTCATTATTGGACAAATAAGATTTGGTTCACGTAGTTGTGATCACTCCCGTGTGGCCAACCTAACTAAGGAAATATGATGACAATGATATGACATGGCCTAGTCATATCATCTGTAGAACCATAAACCTTACCTCCCCGGATAGCACAGATACTCCCAGGATTCCATGTACACTGTGTAAATTGCATTCTTTTCATGAAAGAGCTTAAGGGCATATACATAAATATCTTCCTATGTTTTATTAGTACTCATATAATCATTTTAGAACTTTTTCATGAATCTGACAAAAAATGGGTACAACATTTGGACTTTGAATGAACCACTCAATTGGGTAAATACTATTAACTGTAATTCGGTAAGGCACAACTGATGGTTAAAGGTGTTAAAGTAAGTCTATGGTGTACACTGTGATGAAATCTTTTCCCCTATTTTAATACTTATATTTGTTAGGATCGTGCTAACATGGTATATAAAGTTAATTGGTCCATTTACAAATTAAATCAGATTTCTAAAAGTTGGAATCTTCATTTTGATGAAGCTATTAAACAATTTTGGTCATCAAAAAATGAAATGAACATTATTTCATTGGAAAAGACATTCATACTCTTTAGTCTGTAAAAAGTTGGTTAAGAAAATGTTTTTTTATTATAAAACTTACGTGAATCTACCTAGTATTGGGTATTAGGACCTATAGAGATAGATCAAAGAGGTTGCTTGTTCTAAGTCAAAGAACATATAAAGTGTTAAAATGATTCAACATAAAAGATTCTAATAAAGGATCTTTTCCTATATCACATGAGATAAACCTTTCGAAGGCTCAATCTCTTTCCAACAAGGAAGAAAAAGACCACATGAATGAGATTCCATATGCCTCAAAAATTAGATCTATATTCATGTCATATTATGTGCTCGGCCATATATCTCATATTCATTAAGAGTGGCAAGTATATACTAGTATGATCTCGGTGAAGGTCATTAAAGTAATGTCAAGAATATCCTTAAGTACTTGAGAAGGACTAAGAATAGATTCATGGTAAATGGAGGATCCTTATAATGTTTTTCCCTTTTCTCACTCATTTCCTTTCTTTCTTTGGTGAACGGATCTTTTTTTACTCTCTCCATGATACTCCATTTCTAATACTCATTTTTCAGCCATAATTTCTCATTACTATGCCATGGTTATTGGTTCATTATTTTTCATTCTACACTTGTAAAAGAACTTTCTTCCTCCTTTAAAGCCAAAACCATATGTGTTGACCACCCCCTTCATTTTCCTCTATCTGCTGCTGTAGTAGAAAGATGAAGAAAACGCAATATCCAAACTTAATCTAGCACACAGATCTCGGCAGTGGTGGGGCATGCCATGATACAAATTCTCACGGAAAAAAAAAACTGTTGCCAGAAGAAACAGAAACAAAGCTTGTATGAGAGTAAGACACAAATATTATTTTATTAAGAGGTTTTCAACTTGAGGCATCAATTTAGCACGAGACCAAGTTAAAAAAACATTTAAAGACAGTAATTGTACAAATAATATTTTTACAGGTATCTGAACTGAGTAATTATATGGCATCTAGTGAGATTATTGTTGACTATGAGATGTGAGAGGAGGAAACATTGATCCTCTGGAGCTTATTAATCTATTCTCTCTTTCTCCCCTTTCTTAAAGTGTGTAATGCACTTTTTCCCCCTCCACCTTACCGATTTACATTAGAGTTCTTGCTCTTTTCAACTTGGTACATAAGCTCAAAATCACAGTATAATTTTGTCTATCATCATCACCCAACATCCAAAGTTTGTTGGACAGACAACTAAAAAGACCATCCACAAATGATCCAATATTCACAACAAATATTTTAAAATAAAATGACACTCAAACTTTAAGCAACCAGGCCAATCAGGTTGCCAACTTCATAATAGCTAAGAAAACAATAACAATAACCAAACTTTTATCCCACTTGGTGGAATCATCTACATTGATCGAACAACGTTATAATGATCTACCATAAATCATGTTCATTGACAAATCATTGAGTTCTTAGTTTTTCTTTATCTATAGTTTTTCTTGGTCTCCTTCTTCCTCTATGAATTGAACTAGCTTCCATTTGATCTACTTTCCTTATGGGGGACTCTACCAGTCTCCTCTACACATTTCCAAATCAGCTAAGGTGTTATTTGTGAAGAAGATCTTTGCTTCTGACCTTGGCACGGTTTTGATGAAGACATCAACATCACCAAAAAGAAGAAAAGGAAGACTACTTATGAAGACAAAGAAGATCAAAGCTTCAAGACAATAGACTAAGTCTTTATAGGTACTTCTATCCTAAAACTCTTAGTATATACAAAGTTATAATGCTCAAACCATTTTTAAGAAAAGTTGAAACACTTTAGAATTTGTTAAAACAATTTTCAAAAATAGTGTGTAACAGGTTACTTCTTTTAAGTAACAGGTTACATGTGTAAGAAAAGAGTCTTCAAACCTCTAACAGCTATGAGTAATCGATTACCAAAGTAGTGTAATCGATTACACGAAGAAAAATAACAAAACTGTCAAACAGTGTTGTTTGAGTAATCGATTACTCAAAATCCAGTAATCGATTACACAGTGTAAATTTTCAAATAGCTGTTAACAGGGAGTTTGAGTAATCGATTACTCAAATCCAGTAATCGATTACACTGTGTAAATTTTCAAATAGCTGTTAACAGTATTGATTGGGTAATCGATTACCCAAGTCAGTAATCGATTACTGAGAGCTGTTGGAAGAGTTTTCAGATTTCAAAGTGAAAAGGTTTCACTCCAAACGAAATCCCTTCACTCCAAATAACTCATACACTTTCAGAAAGACACCTAGGGTGTTTTGGAAGTCTATATAAAGGCTCTAAACTCACACACAAAAACATAACTTTCATATACAATTTACATACACTTTCAAAAAGCTCTCAAAGTTTTAATCTTATTTCACTACTCTTTTGCAACTCAGTACTTAGGCTTTCAAAGTTAATTTCTTAAGTTGCTTAAAGAGTGTTTCAAAAGAATTCAAGAGCATTATTACTTATTGTATACAAGAGTTGATTGGATTGCAAGTTATACAAATTTCATACTTGTAAAGGCAATCTGCCATTGTTATATATTCTTCATTTGTGCAAGAATACTTTCTTTCACGGGGTGTGAAAAGAAAGAGAAATAGAATCACTTGGAAAGGTGTTTTCCAAGAGTGAATAAGAATTAGGGAGTGTGTAAGGTACATAGAAATCTCGGGGTGAGATATTGTAATTACAACTCATAATTCTTAGTGGAAAAATCTCTTGTGTGGCAAGAGTACTGGACGTAACCTTCGGTGGACAAGAAGGTGAACCAGTATAAAAATCACTGTGTATTCTCTTTTCCCTTATCTCTTTCATTAGTATTTTCTGCATATATTTTCCGCTGCACTTTAATC